AATGGAAAATATCCTTGTTACCTTTTAATAATTGATGTGACTAAGTAATTATACATTTTATTACTTTAATGTTTTGACCATTTGTGTTGTTTTAATTGTTTTCTAATTGTATTGTGCAGCACTTTGCTTTAAACGTATTTAAAAATGAAGTTTGTTTGATTTGAATTAAATTATGGTTTCTGGTGTTTCATGACGTCACAGAATGACCCGACAAACAGAAGTGAAAGTAGAAACATTTATTTACAGACAACATGAATRATATTCACAGTTTGCTAGAGTTGCTTTTTCAGAAATATAAATACACAAACCGTGTTTTCCACATGACTGGTGTGTTTTTTTTCTCAGAACATAAAACTGTGATGACATAATCTTCCTCTTTATGTCAAATATTTCTAATACAGAGCAGTAACTTTAAGGCTAAAGTTTGTAGAATTAAAAAACTCACAAATTAATTATACRTTAAAATCTAGAAGATTACAGAGAAAGCTTTAAAAATACACGTTCAGGGTTAGACTCCAGTGTCTGTCAGTCTGTGCTCAGTTTGTCTCTTTAGTCTCAGATGTATTGTCGAGGAGAGTACGTTGCTGGTGCAGCGTAAGGTTTGTTGGGGACGTAAGACCCGGAGCTGGTGTAGGGTTGGCTGGATGGAGGCGCGTACACTGGACCGGTGTACCTCGCCGGTGCGTACGGGTACATCGGTCCTACCGGGTAGTTTGGGTAAAATTTCTGTCGAGGAGGACAGGAGGTGGTCAGGATGATCCCTCCGATCAGAAGGACGGCAGCAGCCGCCCAGCCGATGTAGATGCTCGCTCCCAGCTCCCTCTTCTGCGTCTCGGTGAGCGAGCTGCTGCCGTAGTCTGAGATGGTGATGGCTGCAGACCAGCAGACTGGGATCAGGACCAGGATGGCAGCTAAGATGATGAGGACTCCGCCACAGATCACGGCGTTGGCGCTTCCCCACTCCGTCTTCAGGCAGCTGGTGCACTTGGCTCCGATGAAGGTGACGAGGAAGCCGATGAGTCCGACGATGAGGCAGATGATGACCAGCGCCCGGGAGGCCTGCAGGTCCTGAGACATGCTCATCACGTTGTTGGCCATGGTGCACTGCATCTGACCCGTGGCCTGCATGACGCACCTCATCCACAGCCCGTCCCAGATCACCTGACCCGTCACGATGTTGGCCCCGATGTAGGTGGTCACCCTCCACATGGGGACCCCGCAGGTCACCGAGGCCAAACACAGGCCTACGAAGCTTATGATCTGACCCGACACTTCCTTGGCAATCTTCCCCATGATGAGGAGGATTTGTTGGAGGCAGGAGCGATCGCTGCGGCGCTCCGAGTGACACTGCTCTCTGATCGTGTGTTTGAACCAGAGAGTGAAGGAAGGAGGAGGACCTGTCGTCAGGTGAGTTTCTCTGGTCAAACAAGATTCCTTCTGTAAAGGTAGAGGTGTGGCGCTCAACTTGAAACAATGCCCTTTCCTTGGCTCTGAAAACTCACTTTAAACTAAATGATGGGTTTATCAGCTTGACTTAAAACAAATAAAATGTTCTGAAATCGTCTTGAAGACAAAAACAAAGGCAATTTATGACTAATTAGAAGTTCTGAAAAAACTGCTGATATCTTCTAAACACACCAATCAGAAACAAGTTCAACCAAAGCCTAAAGCTACCACATGACACTGGGAGGTTCAAAAAGTAGTTTGACCTTTTTAAACTTCACTAAACATAAAATGTTTAAAGGCACAGTGTGTAGGGTTTGTTGTTTTCAGCGACATCCAGTGGTTGAATCATCCTCCCTGGTCCTCCTCCCACCCCCACTCTAC